GATGATTGTGGGCCAAAAAAAATCCCGGAATTCCTTCCTGGATTTCCCGGAAAAGCCAAAAAACCTCGAAAAAATGCAGTTTTTGGCCCATATCTCGGCAACCAGACCACTTAGCGACTTGAAACATTTACCAATCGATTTCTGCCATAATTTAGAACAATATTGCCGAAGAAAGTTTTCAAAAATATCCTTTCGTTCGGTCACACATTTTAAAATTACATAAACACCTACAAACCGATCGTTCTCCTAGCTTGAACGCACCCCAGCATTATACGTCAGAGCTATTTTTAGATAACATAAGGAAATTGCGCTTAAATTGTCACTAGACTTTTTAATTAACTTGTTTATTCGATAATAGCATCTAACATGTTTTCATAACATCATCATTATAAAATAATATGAGGATTGTATCCAGCTGCTATATCATACATTCAACCAGCATCAAGATTCTATCACCACCAAACGACATCTACTACCAACATACGACAACTGTCACTATCACTTGACATATATTATCAACATATGACATCTACCCCAATATACTGACAACTACACCACCAAATGACAACTACTACCAACATACGACAACCACCAATCAACACCTACCACCAACCCATAACATCCACACCATCACGTGACACCAACCAACCACTCTACCATCTCATGTACACACGACATTTGTGCAACATCTCAGATGCTGTAGCTCATGAAGAACTCACCAACACCATCAATATTCTAACATTACAAAGCTCTCTACAGTTTTTACAGTGGTGTTTTTTTGTGAGAAAAAAACGAACGAATAGGTTTTTGTAAAAAAATCACATTAGCGGATTTTGTAATAATTAAATAGCAGCATTTAATATTTCCATGTTATTAATTATTTATCGTGTTTTTTATCTATGTTTTTTATTAAAATCCTTGGGGATATTTTATTTTGTGATCTATTTGTGTCTGTCTATTACAAGCGCACATCGATTTACAAGCATTGTCTTCAACCAGCCTGAAAGCCATTGTTATCATCGTCCACAGAAAGCCCATATCCCATTGTAATCATTGTTTTAACAAGCCCATATCCCACAGTAATCATCGTCCCTGGAAAGCCCAGCCCATATCCCATTGTAAACAGCTACCCCAGCAAGCAAATATCCCACTGTAATAATTTTTTTTAACAATCCTACATCCCATTGTAATCATCGTCACCAGCAAGCCCATATCCCATTGTAATATTATAGTCCTTTTAAAAGCCCACATTCCTGTGTACACAAGCCCAACTCACACCAGACCACCCACACCAAATCCCATACACCAGACCACCCACACCAAATCCCATTTCCCCCACCAGATCCCATTACTCACACGACTGTTTAACGTCAATCTATGGCGCTCACGAGACTTAAGATAACATTGACACAAGCCCTCGTTTTTTACAGGTCCGTGTCATTACGTCACACGTGTGTGTCATGTCGAACAGCTCAATGAAATATAATCGATTCCGATCAAACTAGTGTTTGGGGACTTAGAACATGACAACTTTGAGACAAAAGAACATGACAAGACAGAAACAAACCGTCAATACAAAGAGAAATATTAGTAACTCAAGAGTTGTAACAAAAAGTTATTGATACAATTGAATTATTTGGAACTTTTACGTTAAGATATATATATATATATATATATATATATATATATATATATATATATATATATAAGAATAAAGTAGAATTCGGGATAATTATATTATAGATAATCTATTTATGAATTATAAAAATCAAACATGAAAAAGTACGAAAAGTAGAACGAAATTTAAGAGAATATTGAAATTAATTAGGCCTAAAGAGATTAAAATAAGTTTTAGTTTCATAGAGTGTCGATAAGATTCAACACACATTGTTGCAAGAGCGAGACGAATAATACAAGCGAACATAGCAGGGATGTTGTGACGCTGCTTGTGTTGTGTGGTTCTCGTCATTTAGTTCATGTCGAACTGCAGCAGCCGAATATTTCCATCTCGTTTCGGTGTTTACATCAACCGGGGGCTTCTGTTTACACGACTGTCTCTGTTAGCCTGTCTCGTCTCTTTGTTGTCCCAGCTATTTGCTCTCCCATTTCTCTGTCTGCTGCTGTCCCTCTGTATATATATATATATATATATATATATATATATATATATATATATATATATATATATATATATATATATATATATGTGTGTGTATGTATGTATATACATATATTATACAGAAGCAAGTCCGTACTATGAAGAGCATCCTCTCAGCACAAACACACGCAAACAACCTCCCCCCCCCAAGCCCTTCTCCGCAACAATCCCAACTTCTATATCTCCCCCCCCCCCCAAACCTTTATTTTATCTCATACAAAACATGTACATCAAAACATGTTTTATGGTTAAAATTGTCTGCAGAAAAACACACATGAAATTTCTGAAGCTCTTACATTTTCCGTTCCGCTTTTTTTATCTGTTGTGAGCCATCTAACGGGATGTAAAACATTAAAAGAACGGGAGGGAGGGGAAGGGTGTGTTGAGACTCGTTATAAGAAAAATGTCAAACAAAAGAAAAATGTTCAATGTGACAAAAAATATTTCTTTATATGTATGGGAGTATTTGTATACGTGGGTATCTGAGTTATGTTCGTATTGTGCGGACGATGTGTAGCCTACCAAACATAACTAGGATCTTGCATTGAGAGTTATGTTACGGACATAAATACACGAATGAGAAATTGAATTGATGTACATTGTTAATATGGGACGGGGTGGCCTAGCGGTGGAGAGCTGGACTGATAATCCGTAAGTCTCGATTCCGGGTTCAAGTCAGTAGAGCGTCCCTGAGTCCACCCAGCCCCGATGAGTACCTAACTCACGTTAGGGAAAGTAAAGGCGGCTGAGTATAGTGCTGACCACACTATCACTTCATATGCCGAGGTCACAGAAACAGGTGAACTCTACTTCACTTGCCCCATATACCGTCAGGGTTTGAAAGGGAACTTTACTTACATTGTTATTATAAAAAACATCTGTTCTTTACTAAGTACTAGAACACATATATGACAGTTACATTGTCATAGGTGATTGTAGTCAACAGTACCTTCACATTCATAAAGCTTTCTTACTTTCTCGTATACGTCATATAGAGGAAGTATTACAATCGTGCAAAAAATCGAAATAGATTTTTGACGTTTTACACCTGACTGAGTCAGGAAAATTTAGTTTTGCAACTTTGTCTGTCTGTAGATCTGTCTGTCTGTCTGTCTGTCGAAACGAAGTTTAATACTAATGTATAAATCTTATTCTCTCGATTCTTTCAAATTTTGAGTGATTTCCGGTTAACGGAAGTATGACTTTACGCTAATCCAAATTTCTAAAAAAAGATCACTTCTACCGGACCCATTTCTTTAAAACTTTTCACGTAGATCTAGACTCGATGGCAATGCATTTTGACGACATCACATTTTGCTGAATTAGATGTTTAATTAACATTTTAAAAATTAATCAATGTTTCCTTTATTAGGCACTAATTTTCCGCTCTGTTATAAACACATTGTTTACGTTCATTTGTTGCGCAATACTTTTTTTTTTCTATTAAAAATGTAATATACAAGAAAGTTAAAGGAAGATGACTCCCGCTTTATTACATGCTTTTATTTAACTCACTTCCTCGTCAGTATGTCGTCAGTCTAGATCGAAACGATCGAGCGAAAATTCGGACACTTCTAACTGACAGATTCGGTTCACAGTTGGCACGTGGGACAAGACATGAAGACAATGCAATCTGAAATTAAATTTGACTTAATTGGAAGCCTAATTAGTTTTTTATGAATTAATTAAAATTTTGACCAAATTAGTAGGCATTTCTATCCAACCACACCACACGCGTCATCACGTTCAATAGCGCGTCATCACGTTCAATAAGCTCGCAATGGTTTTTAGTCATGAAACTCTATTGTAAATAAAAACATGTAAAGTACTAAAAAATTTTTTTCATAAAAAACGTTTTAATAACAAGCTTTTATGTACTAATGCACTAAAAAGTAGAAAGTAAATTATAGACTACTATTTAAATAACTAGAAAGAAAAGCGTGGGTCTCTTCCTAAACATTATTAAAAGTATCCAATAGATACTAAAGTGACCCACGCTTTTCTTTTATAGTTATTTAAATAGTAGTCTATAATTTATTTTCTACTTTTTAGTGCCTTAGTACATAAAAGCTTGTTATTAAAACGTTTTTTATGAATTTTTTTTTTGATGAGCGTGTTTGGCATCTCGTTTCGTCATTGTGTTTACGTGGTCGTACCACATTTAATACTCGCGTAAACAGAGTGTTTAAAAACTGAACAAAGGCGATTGTGTTTGATTAATAATTGAAAAGCCTCGCCTCCTTTGATTCGTTTTTATGAATAGCTTGTTAACTTAATGTAGCGTGCTGATAATTTGAGATAAAATAAGCTGCGGTTTAGGTATTTTTTTGTGTAATTTAATAACGTCGTTTAGATTTCCATTTAAGGAAGAACAAGGTCGCTTTAATTTCCATTTTAGGAAGAACAAGGTCGCTTTAATTTCCATTCAACGCTCCTTGTTTAGACATTGCGTTTTAGCGACGATTTAATAGTATGATTAAATATTAAAATAAAAAATTACATCAAATAATATTTTATAAGCTTTTAATAGTTAGAAAAACTCTTTTGTTTATTTTTTACATTTTTGTATTACATTTTAAAAATTATCAGTTATCAATATCACATAAAATAAGAAAATTAAAAAAAATCAATTTCAGTCAAACGTAGGCTGCAACAGCATTTGATATTTAATTTATTTCCAGACAATGGTCCACGCGATCTATTGTTTATTCGGTCAACTGTCCAATTTGGGCAAACTCCATTCGGTAAAAGCCCCGGTACACATTTATATTAGTATGTATTTTAATTTCAAATTTTTGTACTAGTGGCTTATACCAACTCCTTCTATTTTGTCTACTTTCAGTTAATTTTGACCATTTCCAAATCCTTCGGGCAATCGGCAAGGGAAGCTTTGGAAAAGTGAGTACATTAGTCTACATGTGAGAGCTTTTTTGTCCAGGATTATCTCGAGTTTTTCCGTGATGTCTCGTGTCTCATATTGTCTCTTGGTGTCTCGTCAGTCTCGTGTATTCTCGTGTTGTCAAGTAGTCTCGTGATGTGTCGTTAGTCTCGTGTTTTCTCGTGATGTCTCGTGTATTCTTGTGTTGTCAAGTAGTCTCGTGATGTCTCGTATAGTCTCGTGTTATCTCGTGTAGTCTCGTGTAGCCTCGTGATGTCCCGTGTAGTCTCGTGATGTGCTAACTACCAACCACACCATGTTACGCATGTCCACATCTACCACGGACCAACTAACTGCAGCATCTGGTAGAGCGCAGGTCGTGAGAGGGGAAAGATAAGACTTACTGCCACTTTTGGTACCAAGTACAAAAAGGAAACAGACTAAAAAATGACGCATACGAAAATTTGGAAAAATGAGCGTTCATAAAGAGGGCGGGGGCATTGATAACGAGACTACTACACTATAGTTAGGTTAAAAAAATCGATGGGTTAAAAAAGTGATGTTCGCTGAGAGAGCCCGACAAGCCTTGTAGGGGAGAGTGTGATGGCTCAAGGGACACTGGTGGCTCATTAGAGCCTGCCAACCTAGGCGGCCCTCTTACATCACGGCTCCTGCTTGCTAAATGGATGCTTCAGTTCTGGTCAGATGCGTTTTCCTGGCTCCGACAACCGTTTCCTTCTTTTTGTCTGAGTGATAATTCGGTCCTTTGTAGCCAGGTTTTTATGCGTGTCAGTAGTTTAGCTTGTTGATATTTTACTGCTGAATATTTGCTCTTTGATGATATGTTATTAGTGAATATTTTAGGTTGGTGATATTTTACTGCTGAATATTTGGTCTTTGATGATATGTTATTAGTGAATATTTTAGGTTGGTGATATTTTATTAGGGAATATTTAGTCTGTTTCTTATATTTTATTTGTAAATATTTGGTCTGTTGTTCATAGTTTACTAGTTAACATTTGGTCTGTTTTTATTTATATTTTATTAGCGAATATTTTTCTGTTTTTGATATTTCGCTAGTTAATATTTGGTAATTTGTTGATATTTAAGAAATGAAAGTTGGTCTTTTATTGATATTTTGTTAGTGATTATTTGGGCATTTATTGATATTATACTGACTTATGTTTGGTCAGTTGTTGATATTTGTTCTTTTGATTTTCCTTAAACTTGAAACTGTTAAAACAACATTGTAAGTCACCACAGGCTAAGCGTGTTAAACATTTTACCAGTGTCATTATGTGACTATGTGACGTATTTTGTCTGAACTCATTTATCCTTGGGTATTGTATCCGGTTATATTTTGTCTCAGGATATTTTTTAATGTCACCCCGGCCCTCTAATCTTGTCTTGTGGAGAGAGCCCGTACCCGGGCCATACGCTTCCCACATGAGACCAGGAAAACCCTCGTTCTCTCTAATCTCTAATGCTGTTGTAACGTCTTTATCCTAGTTTATTGTTGTTGTAACGTCTTTATCCTAGTTTAATGCTGTTGTAACTTCTTTATCCTAGTTTAATGTTGTTGTAACGTCTTTATCCTAGTTTATGTTGTAACGTCTTTATCCTAGTTTCGGTAATGTTGTAGCATCTTTATACAAGTATAATGATGTTCTAACGTCTTTATCCTAGTTTGTGTAATGTTGTTGTAACGTCTTTAGCCTAGTTTGTGTAATGTTGTTGTAACGTCTTTAGCCTAGTTTGTGTAATGTTGTTGTAACGTCTTTATCCTAGTTTGTGTATTGTTGTTGTAACGCCTTTATCCTAGTTAGTGTAATATTGCTGTAACGTCATTAACCTAGTTTCTGTAATGTTGGTGTAACATCTTTATCCTAGTTTGTGTGATGGTGTAACGTCTTTATCCTAGTTTCTTTAATGTTGTTAAAAGCTCTTTATCCTAGCTTGTGTAATGTTGTTATATCGCCTTTATCCTAGTTTCCGTAATGTTGTTGTAACGTCTTTAACCTAGCTTATGTAATGTTGTTGTAACGTCTTTAATCTGGAGTCGGTTCCCCCAACTGGTTAGAAATAACAAAGTTCATGCCGGTGTGGAAGTGTTAAATTATTTAGAATCAACAAGAGAGAGAGAGCGTTCTGTGGACTGCTGGAGTTTGAGAGGTAGTGGTCGTTTGTTTTTGGAAGTGATTACAAGATAGAGATTGATCCGTTGACGGTCATGAGCAGGAGGGAGACTGGTTGTCACTTGATGGTCGGGTTGTGTGTGTGGTTGCAAGTTAAAATATCTTAAAGTTCGGCCAGTGAGGTTGTGTTATATTTCGGTGTTTTTTTGGTAAATGTGTTGTTTCGATATAGATCAATATTTTTATATCTTACTATGAGACGACAGACAACTCTTTGTCTGTTTACATAGCAAGCACTTCTGTAGGGCTCACTTGGTTAAAGTGTATATTTTCTATATATATTTTATATTTTTAAGTACTCTTGCGTGTAGAAAGGGGGGGGGGGGTCGGCGTACAACCGAAGGGATAGTGCCCCTCCCCCCCCCCCCTACCCCGAAGTGTTGTCTGAGAGAAGCTCTGAGATATGCTTAAAAAGTTTTTTTGTCTATCTATCGTCAGGGTGTATGTCTGTCTATCATGTGTGTATCTATCTATCAGGTGTGTACCTGTCTATCAGGTGTGTATCAGTCTATCAAGTATGTATATGTCTATCAGGTGTGTACCTGTCTATCAGGTGTGTATCTATCAGGTGTGTATCTGTCTATCAGTGTGTATTTATCAGGTGTGTATCTGTCTATCAGTGTGTATCTATCAGGTGTGTATCTGTCTATCAGTGTGTATCTGTCTATCAGGTGTGTATCTATCTATCCCCAGGTGTGTATCTATCTATCCCCAGGTGTGTATCTGTCTATCAGGTGTGTATTTGTCTATCAGGTGTGTATCTGTCTATCAGTGTGTATCTATCAGGTGTGTATGTCTATCCCCAGGTGTGTATCTGTCTATCAGGTGTGTATCTGTCTATCAGGTGTGTACGTGTCTAACAGGTGTGTATCTGTCTATCAGGTGTGTATCTATCAAGTGTGTATCTGTCTATCCCCAGGTGTGTATCTGTCTATCCCCAGGTGTGTATCTATCTATCCCCAGGTGTGTATCTATCTATCCCCAGGTGTGTATCTGTCTATCTGGTGTGTATCTGTCTATCAGGTGTGTATCTATCAAGCGTGTATCTGTCTATCCCCAGGTGTGTATCTGTCTATCAGGTGTGTATATGTCTATCCCCAGGTGTGTATCGTGCAGAAGAAGGACAGCAAGAAGATGTTCGCCATGAAGTACATGAACAAGGCGGCCTGTGCCCAGCAGGACGCCATCTCTAACGTCATCAGGGAGGTCGAGATCCTCAAGCAGGTGGAGCACGTCTTTATCGTCAACCTCTGGTACTGCTTCCAGGATGAGGAGGATATGTTTATGGTAGGTGGGGGGTCGTTGGTGGGGGGGGGGGTCGTTGGTGGGGGGGGGTCGTTGGTGGAGCACGTCTTTATCGTCAACCTCTGGTACTGCTTTCAGGATGAGGAGGATATGTTTATGGTAGGTGGGGGTCGTTGGTGGGGGGGGGGGGTGGGGGGGTCGTTGGTGGGGGGTCGTTGGTGGGTAGGGGTCGTTGGTGGAGCACGTCTTTATCGTCAACCTCTGGTACTGCTTCCAGGATGAGGAGGATATGTTTATGGTAGGTGGGGAGGGGGGTCGTTGGTGGGGGGGGGGGGTCGTTGGTGGGGGGGGGGGGTGGGGGGGTCGTTGGTGGGGGGTCGTTGGTGGGTAGGGGTCGTTGGTGGAGCACGTCTTTATCGTCAACCTCTGGTACTGCTTCCAGGATGAGGAGGATATGTTTATGGTAGGTGGGGAGGGGGGTCGTTGGTGGGGGGGGGGGTCGTTGGTGGGGGGGGGGGGTGGGGGGGTCGTTGGTGGGGGGTCGTTGGTGGGTAGGGGTCGTTGGTGGAGCACGTCTTTATCGTCAACCTCTGGTACTGCTTCCAGGATGAGGAGGATATGTTTATGGTAGGTGTGGGGGGTCGTTGGTGGTGGGGGGGGGGGGGGTCGTTGGTGGGGGGGGGGGGGTCGTTGGTGGGGGGGGGTCGTTGGTGGAGCACGTCTTTATAGTCAACCTCTGGTACTGCTTCCAGGATGAGGAGGATATGTTTATGGTAGGCGGGGGTCGTTGGTGGGGGGGGGGGGGGGGTGGGGGGGTCGTTGGTGGGGGGTCGTTGGTGGGTAGGGGTCGTTGGTGGAGCACGTCTTTATCGTCAACCTCTGGTACTGCTTCCAGGATGAGGAGGATATGTTTATGGTAGGTGGGGAGGGGGGTCGTTGGTGGGGGGGGGGGTCGTTGGTGGAGCACGTCTTTATCGTCAACCTCTGGTACTGTTTCCAGGATGAGGAGGATATGTTTATGGTAGGTGTGGGGGGGGGGGGGGTCGTTGGTGGGGGGGGGGTGTGGGTGTGTCGTTGGTGGTGGGGGGTGGGGTCGTTGGTGGGGCACGTCTTTATCGTCAACCTCTGGTACTGCTTCCAGGATGAGGAGGATATGTTTATGGTAGGTGGGGAGGGGGGTCGTTGGTGGGGGGGGGGTCGTTGGTGGGGGGGGTCGTTGGTGGAGCACGTCTTTATAGTCAACCTTTGGTACTGTTTCCAGGATGAGGAGGATATGTTTATGGTAGGTGTGGGGGGGGGGGTCGTTGGTGGGGGGGGGTGTGGGTGTGTCGTTGGTGGTGGTGGGGGGGGGTCGTTGGTGGAGCACGTCTTTATAGTCAACCTCTGGTACTGCTTCCAGGATGAGGAGGATATGTTTATGGTAGGTGGGGGGGTTGTTGGTGTGGGGGGGGGGTCGTTGGTGGGGGGGGGGTCGTTGGTGGTGGTGGTGGGGGGGGGGGTCGTTGGTGGGGGGGGGGGGGGGTCGTTGGTGGTGGTGGTGGGGGGGGGGGTCGTTGGTGGGGGGGGGGGTCGTTGGTGGTGGTGGTGGGGGGGGGGGTCGTTGGTGGGGGGTCGTTGGGGGAGCACGTCTTTATAGTCAACCTCTGGTACTGCTTCCAGAATGAGGAGGATATGTTTATGGTAGGTGGGGGGGTTGTTGGTGGGGGAGGGGATCATAGGTGTGGGGGGTCGTAGGAGGAGCATGTCTTTATAGTCAACCTCTGGTATTGCTTCCAAGATGAGGAGGATATGTTTATGGTAGGTGGGGAGGGGGGTCGTTGGTGGGGGGGGGGGTCGTTGGTGGAGCACGTCTTTATAGTCAACCTCTGGTACTGCTTCCAGGATGAGGAGGATATGTTTATGGTAGGTGGGGGGGTTGTTGGTGTGGGGGGGGGGGGGGTCGTTGGTGGGGGGGGGGGGTCGTTGGTGGAGCACGTCTTTATAGTCAACCTCTGGTACTGCTTCCAGGATGAGGAGGATATGTTTATGGTAGGCGGGGGTCGTTGGTGGGGGGGGGGTCGTTGGTGGTGGTGGTGGGGGGGGTCGTTGGTGGGGGGTCGTTGGGGGAGCACGTCTTTATAGTCAACCTCTGGTACTGCTTCCAGAATGAGGAGGATATGTTTATGGTAGGTGGGGGGGTTGTTGGTGGGGGAGGGGATCATAGGTGTGGGGGGTCGTAGGAGGAGCATGTCTTTATAGTCAACCTCTGGTATTGCTTCCAAGATGAGGATATGTTTATGGTAGTTGGGGGGAGTGTAGGTTTGCGTGTGAGGGGGGTCGTTGGTGACGGGGGGGGGGGGTCTATTGGTGGAGGCTCATAAGTGTATGGTCATTTGTTGGGGGTGTGTGTTCATAGGTGGATGGTCTTTGGGGGGAGGTAGCTTAGGTAGGAGGGTCGAAGGAGTATGGTCATTTGTTGAGGGTCATAGGTGGAAAGTCATAGATATTTTAGTTATTTGTTGGGGGATCATAAGGGAAGTGTCGTGGAGTGAGTTGGCGTAGCTAGGAGTATCGAAGGTGGGTGGGTCACAGTTACTTGTCGTATGTGTGTGTCCATTGAGGGAGGGGTCGTAGGTGGGGTCCTCGTATATGGAGTGTCGATGTTGGATCGAACTGGGGGCGCAGATGGGGGTCGTAGGGGAGAGTCATATTGTCGAGGGTCGTAGGTGAGAGTCATATTGTCGAGGGTCGTAGGTGAGAGTCATATTGTCGAGGGTCGTAGGTGAGAGTCATATTGTCGAGGGTCGTAGGTGAGAGTCATATTGTCGAGGGTCGTAGGTGAGAGTCATATTGTCGAGGGTCGTAGGTGAGAGTCATATTGTCGAGGGTCGTAGGTGAGAGTCATATTGTCGAGGGTTGTAGGTGAGAGTCATATTGTCGAGGGTCGTAGGTGAGAGTCATATTGTCGAGGGTCGTAGGTGAGAGTCATATTGTCGAGGGTCGTAGGTGAGAGTCATATTGTCGAGGGTCGTAGGTGAGAGTCATATTGTCGAGGGTCGTAGGTGAGAGTCATATTGTCGAGGGTCGTAGGTGAGAGTCATATTGTCGAGGGTCGTAGGTGAGAGTCATATTGTCGAGGGTCGTAGGTGAGAGTCATATTGTCGAGGGTCGTAGGTGAGAGTCATATTGTCGAGGGTTGTAGGTGAGAGTCATATTGTCGAGGGTCGTAGGTGAGAGTCATATTGTCGAGGGTCGTAGGTGAGAGTCATATTGTCGAGGGTCGTAGGTGAGAGTCATATTGTCGAGGGTCGTAGGTGAGAGTCATATTGTCGAGGGTCGTAGGTGAGAGTCATATTGTCGAGGGTCGTAGGTGAGAGTCATATTGTCGAGGGTCGTAGGGGAGAGTCATATTGTCGAGGGTCGTAGGTGAGAGTCAGATTGTCGAGGGTTGTAGGTGAGAGTCATATTGTCGAGGGTCGTAGGGGAGAGTCATATTGTCGAGGGTCGTAGGGGAGAGTCATATTGTCGAGGGTCGTAGGTGAGAGTCAGATTGTCGAGGGTTGTAGATGGGTGTCGTAGATGGGAGGTTTCCATCAGAGACGTTTCCTAAACCAAATGTTTCAGTTATAGAAATCTCAGCAACCAGTGCATCTTTTGGTTCACGTTTTAAAAAAAAAACGTCCCATTTGCTACTTGCCCGAAGAAGATTTTGACTAAAATACCTAGATTATACATATAGACCAACGATGCAGGGTATTCGGGGATTGTAAAATCACGTCTTTCCTTTAAAGATTCGATGAATATTTTGTTAGAAACAGTCGTACTAGAGACCTTCGAATATTCCACGGTAACTTCCCCTTGCAGAAGACAGTCACTTGTATAAAAACAACTAAACACAAAGGGCGAACTTGAGCGTCTTTTCAAGCCTTTTTGTGACTAGAAATAAAGATCATTCTAGACTAGCCTAAAACAGACGAAAGTTTCTCCTTAAAAAATCACGCGAGCTGATTGATCGACCTGTTTGATGCCCTCAGTTGCTCATTAAACTAGAAGACAGATAGGGATCGACACAATCTTTCGGTCAAGTATCATTTCCGAGCAGAAGTTGAGCAGACAGCTTTAAAAAGTGCAACGGAAATAAGTTAAAAAAACGAAACTTATTATTTTTTTAAATTAATTAAAATAGTTGTGTCTCTTATAGATTGCCAATGGATGGGTACAGTTATTAAATATAACTAGTGGTGTAAGCCCGTACACACTGAGAACCACTGGGCTAGATCGTTACCATGGAAACCAGTGTTTATGTTTCCATTAATTTTTTCTCTCTCCATTTTGTCAATACATTCCGATCGTTGTTTTCTTTTTATTTAAAATAAAATGAAAAATCGGCTTTAAAATCTTAATCAAAGAAGTTCTTTTTAAAATAGGAGAATCTGAACACTATCTAATGAAATTTGAAGTTGACGAAATGTACATTAATAGGAACAATCTAATTTAGTCTTTCTGTATATTATTTAGTGAACTCTAATCGAAGCAGTTTGTTTATTAGTCCTTGAACTGTTGTATGCCGTACATTGTAGTACAAGCATTTAAGTTTTTTTATTTAACAATTCAATTCCATCTCACTAATTAACCGAAGTTTCCGTTAATATTTAATCAATGAGCTATCTCCCCACACGGTATGTGAGGCAAATAAATGGTTAGATTTGTGGGGGTTAGGCCGTAATCGTTAACATAAACGTAGTAATTAACATATTAATCATTATTACAGGCACATTGAGATTTGGGAATTTAATTAACTAATTGCCTGCATATCATATATAGTTAATTGGGGTGTAGGGGAGGGGTGGGTGTGGGGTAGCGTGTGAGTGAAGGGGGTGGAGTGGTGTAATAGGGAAGGGGGTGGTGGTGGGGGAGGGAAGGGGATGGGGTGCGTTTGCTTGTGAGATAAAACGGAATATGGCGTTTGAGGGAAGGGGTGAGGTGGGTGTGGGGGCGGGGCCTGGAAAGGGAATGGGGGTGGATTAGCGTTTGAGGGAAGGGAAGGGGTGAGGTGGGTGTGGGGGCGGGGCCTGGAAAGGGAATGCGGGTGGATTAGCGTTTGAGGGAATGGAGGTGGGACTGGGTGAAGGAAATGAGGGTGGGAGTCGGGTGTGGAGGAGGAATGGGGGATGAAGCTGGGGACGGGAATGGTGGTGGGATTAGGGTGTGTGAGAGGAAATGGAGGTGTGTGGGGGAAGGGAATGATGGTAGTAGTGTGGTGTGAGGAAGGGCATAGGGGTGTGAGTCTGAGTGGGCATGTTTCTCGCAATGCCGTGATGTCCCTTTGACAAATGCTGCTCATTTCTTGGGTGATTCAAATTATAAATATAAATATTTTTTTTTCCATTTTTAAGAATTAAAATATTTTCTGTCATCGATTTAAAAAAAAATATATAATCCAGATCTTTCGCTTGCGTGTAAAAGCTATTGATCTAGCTTTAGAATCAAAGGTGAAGAAATCATAGCATTGTGTTCGATGATTCTCACCTATTTTACACACAACTTACATGTGTTGATCTATAGGGCTGGTTAAGTTTACTGCAACAGTGAACAGAACTAGATTAAGATATGAACCAACGACACACAATCATGATTTCACTGACGATCCCAATTTATTTACATAATTTAAAACTAAATATACATTTCAGCTCTACAGGAATACATATAATTTCACTTACCATTAAACTATAAACTGTTTCGGCCGTGATATATTTTTTAATGTTATATTGAAACAACATGGCTGCCTAATTAATTAGAAGTCGTTTGCATGCTACTAAAAACGAGTGCAAAAGAATAGGATGTACGTGTTTAAAAATGTAACGTACGTACGATGGTGAATTAATGCAGATTTTTTAATTTTAAGCTGACAGTTAACATACACTTTTTGATTGGCAGATAACCTTATAACAGATAAAAGATGCTCTTTATAAATTGACTGTTAAAAATACATTTTTGAATTATCCGCTTGATGTATAGATATAATGGATACAATGGATATGATGGATACTGTATGTGGTAGTCGAGGCGAGTGTGAATGGATATGTTGTGGATACAGTGATACAACACTAAGCCACACCAGCAGAGAAAATAAACAACGGGAAGTCCCGAAGATAGGGGGGAAATCCCCTCCCTCCTCCATCTTATTTGATCTGTCTGGGAGCCTCACATCGTTTCCGGTTTGCATTATCCTCGTTTCAAACCCCACCGGAAGTGATTTTCAACCTGAGAAGTTGTCGGTCCTTTCATGACGTCCCGAGCGTCAGTTGGGTTTTATGATCGGCTGTCCTTCGTCCCTTGTGGAGAACTGTGGCTTCAGTAGTAAAATATTCATCGTTGTACTCATGGGAAGTCAGCGCTTGACATAATAGTAGTGTACAGAAATCTAGTCGACACTATTAAACTAAAAAAATCTAAAAGTACACGCAACTATCTAAATATCCATATATATATATATATATATATATATATATATATATATATATATATATATATATATATATATAGGACCAGACTGTTCTAACTCTATTTTTGAGCTTTATACACCGTTGAGTTCTGAATCTCCCAAAGCATTATGGTTGAGAAATATGTGGCTACACGTCTTACCATATCACACAACAATTGTATCCCACCAAGTGATGCTGATCACATCTACTCTCTCATATACCGAGATCAATGCAACAGATGAACTCTACTTCATCTGGCCCATGTATCTGGGACACCAACGGAAAAAGATGACGTGTTTGATACAGAAATGTTTAGGGAAACAGAACTTCAAAGGAGATATTTGTAATACACACAGACGCCTACATATTTATATAGGCTCTCTCTCTCTCTATATATAATATGTATAATATGGTCTCTCTCTCTCTCTATATATATATGTATATATATATGCATATATATACATATATATATATATATATATATATATATATATATATATATATATATATATATATATATATATATATATATATATATATATATATATATATATATATACATCCACACATATACATTTTGGTAAGAGAAAACTGCCTAACTCATAATTTTAAAATTTCAAATATAAATGATATCCATTAGCATTTGATATCAATGAAAAAGTTGACCGAACTCTGCCTCCTTGTTTTTCCTACAGTAAAAAGAATCGATGTGGCTACAGTTACAATTGTCATTGATTGATCATATCGTCAATTAGCCCAGGGTTATATCTAGGCCGTAAAACTACACACCCACACACTCTACACACCCTACCCCACTTACCCTAACCCTTAAATAGCCGTGTATTTATCTAACCGAACATGACGTCACACTGTCCACTGGTCTACTAAAAGCGGCCTGTTGCGTGTGATCTAACCCCTTGTTAAGTGCCCCCCTAGGTCCGGCCATTAGGAACTGCACTTAGTGGAAGTCTGGAGGCCGAGCTTAGAACCTTTCATTATCTGGCACGAGAGGGCGCTTATTGCCCCCCCCCCCCCCCCCTTGCGTGTACCCCAGTTAGCCAGACAAATTGTAAATGAGGGTTAATTGGCCACCCTGGGTCTACAGGAATTTAGGGTTAAAAGTATGTTTTGTTTTGGTAAGTACTAGACAACCCCACCTAATCTTAGTTTAAACTCGGTGTCTGGAGCATTGGTTCATGACCTGATGCCGTAGCTCATGACCTGATGCCGTAGCTCATGACCTGATGCCGTAGCTCATGACCTGATGCCGTAGCTCATGACCTGATGCCGTAGCTCATGACCTGATGCCGTAGCTCATGACCTGATGCCGTAGCTCATGACCTGATGCCGTAGCTCATGACCTGATGCCGTAGCTCATGACCTGGTGCCGTAGCTCATGACCTGGTGCCGTAGCTCATGACCTGGTGCCGTAGCTCATGACCTGGTGCCGTAGCTCATGACCTGGTGCCGTAGCTCATGACCTGGTGCCGTAGCTCATGACCTGGTGCCGTAGCTCATGACCTGTAGCAAAACAGGAAGACTTAGAGCATTAGTTCATGCATTAGTGCACTAGTTCATGACTTAAAGCACTAGTTCAACAACTTCCGGCAACACAAATCAACTGACCAGTACTGACATCCTCACATCACCAAATGGCCAACTCACCAAATGGCCAACTCACCAAATGGCCAACTCACTAAATGGCCAACTCACCAGATGGCCAACTCACCAGATGGCCAACTCACCAAAAGGCCAACTCACCAAATGGCCAACTCACCAACTCACCAAATGGCCAACCCACCAAATGGCCAACTCACCAAAAGGCCAACTCATCAAATGGCCAACTCACCAACTCACCAAATGGCCAACCCACCAAATGGCCAACTCACCAAATCGCCAACTCATCAAATGGCCAACTCACCAAATCGCCAATTCATCAAATGGCCAACTCACCAAAAGGCCAACTCACCAGATGGCCAACTCACCAGATGGCCAACTCACCAGATGGCCAACTCACCGACTGATATCTAGCAGACTTTCATTTACTTATCACAAACAACCGTTTAACTAACCAGCCGCTAACATGCTTCTAAAGCCACTTATCCTAACACAACACAACCAACTCATAAATCACACAACTGACCATCTATTCTCCACTAACCCTCAGTATCTTATCCCCAATTGTCTACCAATATTCCACTCTTCCAGATTTTATTAATACACAAAGACCATTTAGCCTTCAATCCATCTTTATCTTATCACCAAATGTCTAACCAATATTCCACTCTTCCAACTTTTATTAATACACAAAGACCATCTAGCCTTCAATCCATCTTTATCTTATCACCAAATGTCTAACCAATATACCACTCTTCCAACTTTTATTAATACACAAAGACCATCTAGCCTTCAATCCATCTTTATCTTATCACCAAATGTCTACCAATATTCCACTCTTCCAACTTTTATTAATACACAAAGACCATCTAGCCTTCAATCCATCTTTATCTTATCACCAAATGTCTACCAATATTCCACTCTTCCAGCACTTAATAAGAAAACTCCTTTAGTCCTGCCTCCACATAACCCAACCGCCTATAATTCTGCACTAACAACCACTGATCAATAATCTTAGATATGTACTTAATTAAAAGAACGTATTCCAGTGTAATATTGATACTATTATCGATATTTATACTAAACGGAGATTTATTTGCGCACGTATTAAATATTAATGACATAGAATTACGCAAGCAGAAATCGATGAAAAGAACTGCAGTAGCAGATGGGCGTTATCACTAGTATAGACTAGAGTAAATCATTGCTGGGTAGATCTAAATATAGAAACAACTCACCACGTGACCAAGATAAACACGTTTTCATTGGTCGATATTTTTTATAGCCGTTTTATGCTTACAGTTATCTCGGAGAGAACGTTCAATGCGGTTAGACGTACATAAAGATCGATTGTTGGTGAAAATATAGCGAGTATTTGTTTTGATAATTGAGTATTCTTATAAAAAGAAAAAGACAATGTCTTGTACGACATAATTATAAAACATCAGCAGTCAAAACTACTGAGACTTCTTGAAATCTTGCCCACCTGAGTTTACTTTTTGTGTGTAAACTGACCTATCACATAAGTATCCCGGTAGTGGGGATTGTCACGTGTTGACATGGTCACGTGGTTTGGCACAAAGAGGTAGACCCCCCCCCCCCCCCCCTTATTTACTAAGGTCAAAACGGTTACAGCCATTTTGAACACATTCAATAACCCACTGAGGAGAATAAATTTAAAAAAATATTTTTACTCTCTTAAAAAACAATCTGTATTAGTTATTGCACAATTACACGTCGTCACAAAAGTATGAAATAAAACCTGCATGAGCCATAGAACTGGTTGGTGACATACTTATCAGCCCTATTCCCCCTTGGTATGATTGTTCTCTAACCTAGAGCCGCCATCTTGTTGTAGGTGGTTGACCTGTTGCTGGGCGGTGACCTACTTACCAGCCCTATTCCCCCTTGGTATGATTGTTCTCTAACCTAGAGCCGCCATCTTGTTGCAGGTCGTTGACCTGTTGCTGGGCGGTGACCTTCGCTACCACATGCAGGAGGACCTGAACTTTACAGAGCAGCACGTGCGTCTTTACCTGGCCGAGCTGGCTCTAGCACTGGACTACCTGAGGAGTCAGTTTATAGTGCACAGGTGAGTAGTCAATTTATAGTGCACATGTGAGTAGAGTCTATTTATAGTGTACAGGTGAGTAGAGTCTATAGTGCACAGGTGAGTAGTCTATTTATAGTGCACAGGTGAGTTGAGTCTATTTATAGTGCACAGGTGAGTAGAGTCTATTTATAGTGCACAGGTGAGTAGTCTATTTATAGTGCACATGTGAGTATATTTATAGTGCACAGATGAGTAGTCTATTTATAGTGCACATGTGAGTAGGGTTTATTTATAGTGCACATGTGAGTAAAATCTATTTATTGTGTACATGTGAGTAGAGTCTATTTATAGTGCAAACGTGAGTAGAGTCAATTTATAGTGCACAAATAAGTTGAGCCTATTTAGAGCGTACAGGTGAGTAGAGGGGTCACTTTAATGTGCACAGGTGAGTAGAGTCCATTGTAGCTTGGAATTTATGGGAGTAGATCAGTATCAGTACATTCCTACATTCTTTGTTGGTACATTCCTACATACTTTGTTGGTACATTCCTACATACTTTGTTGGTAATTCCTATACACCTTACTCACAGTACAGTCCTAGATACCTTATTCACGGTACAGTCCTACGTACTATTTTCATGTACAATCATACATAAGAAGTTGACTTTAACTACATACTACATATTTATTCAATGATCATATCATAGATATAATCTAGTACCACCGTCCTTTAAATGCATTAGTGACATTCTGAAAGAACCCGCTGTAGAAAAATACGAGTTAAAATTTTAAAGCGAACGATTTTTCTCCCAAGAGAAGACGAAAGAGCCAATCTACAAAAAACAATAATAGAAAAATTAATCATATTTCACGTGCATTGATTCCAGGCCTTGACACGCTGACCTTCTGTCTGACCTGACCCGACCTCTAATCTATTCACTGCAGGGTTGCTGTCTCACGTGCGATGAGCGGGGGTGGGGCTGAGGGGGGGGGGGGGTTGTTTAATATTGCAAAACCTATTTTGTTCGAACTGTTTTGTGGGGAATGTTTTCACAAGATGAGAGCTAATATGTCGGCTCTAAGGGAGTCGATGTAATGGAGACGTGCTTGGATATCATGCTTTATATATATATATATATATATATATATATATATATATATATATATATATATATATATATATATATATATATATATATATATATATATATATATATATATATATATATATATACATATATATATATATATATATATATATATATATATACATATATATATATGTATATATGTATATATATATATATGTATATATGTATATATGTATATATATATATATATATATATATATATATATATATATATATATATATATATATATATATATATATATATATATATATATATATATATATGAATACACATATAATTGGCCTTAGAGTGTGCCCTGAGAGTGCCATTAGTAGGCCTACTATACTTTGCTAGAACTTAAGCATGTTTTTGTGACAGATCTCTCGCCATGAGCTATTTGCGTTGCTCTTTTCCCAAGTAAGTTTCATCTCTTCTCCCCCACCCCCCTCCACACACACCTCCTTAATGCTATTTTAAAACGACAGTGTAAACGTAAGAGGAAATTTTATATTACGTTATTGTCGATTTTTAATTAGCTTATAAAAAAAACTGACAGAAGAGTCTATTTAAGTAAAATCGATAGATGGATTATAATATTTTAATTTCGATCGAAAAAACTAATTAGTCTAATTTAAATCTAGCATATCCATTAAAATAATTACAACGTTTATGCTTCACAAATGCCATTTAATTTTTCAAGCGTTATTTTACTATTTATTTAAAAGTCATTTAGCCATTTCATTAAATGTCATTTAACCATTTCATTAAATGTCATTTAACCATTCCATTAAATGTCATTTAACCATTCTATTAAATGTCATTTAACCATTCCATTAAATGTCATTTAACCATTCCAATCAATGCCGTGTAACCATTACCACCAATGTCTTCTTACAAGTCGCCCAATTACCGTCTCTATTAATTTACCCTGTCACCCACACCCACATTTACACCCACCTTCACTCTCACATCCACACCAACCCGCACACCCACCGTCACATCTACACCCACCTTAAAATCTACACCTACCCTCACACCTACACCCACCCCCACATCTACACCCACCCCCACATCTACACCCACCCCACTTCTACACCCACCCCCACATCTACACCCACCCCCACATCTACACCCACCCCCACATCTACACCCACCCCACTTCTACACCCACCCCCACATCTACACCCACCCTCACATCTACACCCACCCCACATCTACACCCACCCCCACATCTACACCCACCCCCACATCTACACCCACCCTCACATCGACACCCACCCCCACATCTACACCCACCCCACTTCTACACCCACCCCCACATCTACACCCACCCCCACATCTACACCCACCCCCACATCTACACCCACCTCACATCTACACCCACCCTCACACCTGCACCAACCCTCACATCTACACCCACCCCCACATCTACACCCACCCTCACATCTACACCCACCCTCACATCTACACCCACCCCACATCTACACCCACCCCCACATCTACACCCACCCTCACATCTACACCCACCCCACATCTACACCCACCCCCACATCTACACCCACCCCACATCTACACCCACCCTCACATCTACACCCACCCTCACATCTACACCCACCCTCACATCTACACCCACCCTCACATCTACACCCACCCTCACATCTACACCCACCCTCACACCTGCACCAACCCTCACATCTACACCCACCCCCACATCTACACCCACCCTCACATCTACACCCACCCTCACATCTACACCCACCCTCACATCTACACCCAACCTCACATCTACACACAAACTCACATCTACACCCACCCTCACATCTACACCCAACCTCACATCTACACCAACCCTCACATCTACACCCACCCTCACATCTACACCCACCCTCACATCTACACCCACCCTCACATCTACACCCACCCTCACATCTACACCCAACCTCACATTTACAATCACCCTCACATCTACACCCACCCTCACATCTACACCCACCCTCACATCTACACCCACCCTCACGCCCACCCTCATACCTACCCTCACACCCACTCAAACCATCACACACGCCTCACACTCTCCCTCACACCCTCCCTCACACCCTATCAACAAATAGTTCCATTCCTCTCCTGCAACTCAATTTCGCCCCACCCCACACATCCCCCCACCCCCTACTGGGAGATTTAATAACTCTTTTGATCACTTGTCTGAGGCGCTCGTCTGCCCGCTGACAGCCAACATGCTCTCAGCACGTGACCGTGTTTTGATGTCAGCCACAAGTGTCACGACATGTCAAAGGACTGTTGTCATGACATGTCAAATGACTGTTGTCATGACACGTCAGCTAGGCACCTTCACACGAACACCCACCTAGCGTCTGTCACCACACACTAAACCGACACTCATCAAGAATTCACCTTCCATCCTGCATGAACTAGACTGCACTAACTAAACACACCCAAACACAACACAACACGACCAAACACAACACGACCAAACACAACACGACCAAACACAACACGACCAAAAACAACACGACCAAACACAACACGACCAAACACAACACGACCAAACACAACACGACCAAACACAACACAACACGACACCAAACACAACACGACACAACACAACACAACACAACACAACAAACACAACACGACACGACACGACCAAACACAACACAACAGGACACCAAACACAACACGACCAAACACAACACGACCAAACACAACACAACACGACACCAAACACAACACGACCAAACACAACACGACCAAACACAACACGACCAAACACAACACGACCAAACACAACACAACACAAGTCCAGAACTGAACGAACACCGAAGAACAGTTACTCACGATTGTGACCTAGATTTCTAAAACAACCTGTCGATGATTTCAAGGGCAGATCAATCTAAAAGATTCAAGTTTATATTTTGGTTTCGATTTTCTCGCTGTCGTTCACGTAATGCCCGTGAGATCGCGATTTGAAGTCTTGTCTTAGTGTAGGTCTACAATCTTACAGCACAGCTAGAAATCTCGTTAAGACAGTGGACTGCTGACCAGGCTATTTATAGAAAGAAGTACAGTACATCTGGAATTAGTCGTATTGTATCAGGGGTCGGTATTTAGGCGAGTCTTGGAAGAATTGGCACCGCGATTTGTACGGGTCGCCTGTACTGGCTGGACCTAGCAGTTACTTGAAGCAACATCTCGTTAGCTGGCGTAGAGTTTAGTGTCGCGCTGGGTCTAATTACGCCAGGTCACGTGGTTCCCGTAGGAGTTAAATTAGCTTCCAAGTGGCAGAGTACTGGGCTGTGGGGGGGGGGGGGGAGGGGGTAGTTTTAGTTTGAGATCTTTACAAAGAGTGTGTGCAACTAGGAACAAAACTTTACCGGGGCAATAGTTGTTAGTAGCAAATATTTGCAGGAGTTTGAGTTGCAAATCTTGAAACCCGTTTTAGACATTGCACATTTTTAAAAATCTGATGTGAATTGTGTAAAAATAAACGTATAGGCCTACATACACACAAACATGTTTAGCCAGTGATTATATATATATATATATATATATATATATATATATATCTATATATATAAAGCAAAGTGGTCAGGTGCCCGATAGGGCACTTCCCGGCGCCGCAGGCGCGTCAAATTTGGCACAGTGGTGCCTTGGGGCCATAGAACATGAGGGCCGGTGACGGTTTGCCGAAAAGTCTACGGAGAGGGGGTCAAAACTGACCTCGACTGACCGGCGCCTTATATGGGCTATATTACGAAAAAAAATTTCCTCCGACGACCCCCCTTGAAATTTTGTGAGGTGGTAGGAGAACGCCTTGGGGTGTCCCAAAAAACTCGCCATGTCCGGGAAAATTCGTTAAATGGGTCAAAACTGACCAGTCGTATTTCCCT